CGCATCCGCAAACGCTGCGCACTATCAGCGCAGGCATGGGCTCAAGCCGAAGAAGCCCGTAGAAAGTTGCATAAAGAAGTGGCCAAGAAGCCGCCACCAACTCGCAAAGTTTGGAGGCCGAAGTCTGAAGCGGCGGTGGTCACCAAAGTTTGATTTCCTGTTAGAAACCTTGAGTGACTCTACCATCATTCATGGAATTGTTTTTAATTATATCCTACAATTAATTCCCATTTTTTTAATAAGTCACTTCCTTAATTTCCTCCGGCGAGGAAGCTAATGGAAATTCCTCAGGGTGAAATTGGAGCATCAATAAGAAGAACGGCGATGAATTTATATAATTATTGTAGCTAATTTTATGAATTTCTATTTATATAACTAATTTGATCATTTGTAGCTGAGGTCTGGTTCACTGATAGACATGAACTGTTGGCCATTAGTCTGATAGAGGATGCATGAGAAGAAGATCCCATAAAAATTGATGGAAAAAACTCTTACAAAAAAGTAAAGAACTCTCTAAAAAAGAAACTTATTATCACTCCAATTCTAATTAATTCTTAGTGTCAACGAACCTTCACAATTTACCAACTACTTTATGAGTAAAAAAAATAAGCAGTGGAATGGTGTGTCCTCCAACCTTATTGGTTGGTGTCTCGCTAGCGTGACACATATTCAAATCATCAACTATGATCTAGATATGTTGATGATCTGAATGATAGTGATATGAATGTATGCCACATCAGCAATACGTCTCGCTAACGTGACACATATTCAAATCATCAACTATGATCTAGATATGTTGATGATCTGAATGATAGTGATATGAATGTATGCCACATCAGCAATATTACATTAGCTAACACCTAAAGGGACACACAAGGTCCAGTTAAACTTGCATAGATATAAGTGTAGATCTATAAGATAAAGCTAAGCCATGATCACTTTAGGGAGCATAATATCCTTTTAGTCTCTTAGAAGCAAGGCATATTATCTTGGTTCTTCACTAGCTAGGCTAAGAAACAAGGTAATGGTAAGCGCAACCCTCTATTTTACATTTTTTTTTAAATTTTTTTAATAATTACTTTTCCCTTTGTTTAGTCTATCTCCCATTCTCCCTCGTTCTCCTAGACAAAGGATCGAATCTTAGAACTTATTAGCTGTGGTTCAGTTATTAAAATTTATCTGTAGATTATTTTCTGCAAACGGGACCAGCTGGGTGCTTTGCTGTGGCTAGCTTTATCGGCTGCATACATTTGCAAACGTGTTTCTGAGGTATATTGAATGGAGTAATGAAAAACACTAGCTTTTTATTTTTCCCACTCTCCTGTCAAAAATTAACGGAGAAACCATTATTTCTAGTTATGCAATCATCTATTATATAGTTGGTGGCGGTGTAATTCATATTGAATTAAACAGTTAAAAAAGAGCGCAATGATATGCTAAATTTTAAAATGAATGGCGATTAATCTACTAAACAATAAATCGTAGTGATTAACGAATTGTCCTTTTTGCTATTTCTTGATAGGGAAGAAGATCTATAAAGCAATTGTCTAATTTGAGAAAATAACTACGCTGAAGGGCATGCTATTAGCCCTTTGTCTACTCATATAATCCATACAGGCCCGGCCCTGGGGTAAGTCCACCAAGCCCCGGGGTTGGGGCAACCCAGGGTCGGGGGGCTTTCAATGTGCATGGGTTGCTTATCGGATTTTGTTAACTATCCCAGTTAAGGTTGCCTCGGCGGAGAGAAGTTTTACCAATTTGAAATTGATAAAAAGTTATCTTCGCATTACCATGTCACATGAATGATTGAATGGATTGTCAATGATATCAATTGAAAATGAATACTTAGAGAAACTTGAGTATGATGACTTAATAATTGAAGAATTCGCTTCAAAAAATTCAAGTAGAAGTATTTTTCTTTAAACTAAATTGTAGCACAAATGTAATCTTTTCTTATATGAATATTGATTTTGCAAAAGAATATTATCAGTTTGAGCCCAATATAGAATGCTAAATGGTGTTATATGTATTCATTTTTATCGTTATTGTTCGTACCAAATTTTTAATATAAAGGGCAACCAAAATTGGATTGGACTAGGACAACCCAAACCTCGGGGCTGCCCCTGAATCCATATAACTAGGCAACAACTGATGCATCGCTGATGTAGTGCACATTCAAACCCCTACAGTACAGATCATCACACTTAGATGATAAACTATATATTACATATATATGTCAATGTTAGCAATACACTGGCTAGCTAGCTGCATGGATGAACATACCAGCTTTCATTTGTACTCCCTTCACATTATAAACAAACCACTACCTTCATTTTTGGAGACGGGATCGTGGAACTCATCATCTATGCCTAATTTGAATATATAAACTTATCACTGGCACTACAGTTTGCAAAGCGGCCTGCACGAAATAATATTTTGTATTGGGCCAATTAACTAAAAGCAAAGTGTGGCCCAACATGTGGTCTTTTGGCGCGGACAGTAATTGTCCGCGGAGCTGGGAGACACCACCACAACTTGTACATGCAAATATGTTAATGATTCTATAATAGCTGCTATCTCAATCATTATTCAAAACTGTAGCATGGCTAATTGATTATAATTACTGTTGCTTTTATTTTATTCCCTCTTCTCTTGTGTTACCAAACTGATTTATCTACTGTTTGTTTAAATCTTGTCCCCTCTTGTCTTGTGCTATCAAGGCCTGTTGATAGGATGTGCCCATCAATTAGATAGATCCCATTGGAGTGGAGAATATGGACCATGTTCAATGTTTGGTTATCTTTCATGACCATGTTGTGTGTAAACTTCCTAGTTGGTCAGGGGTTCAAATCCCCGCTTCCGCATTCACCTGGTTTCTGTGGGATTAAGGGGGGTGCAGAAACCCGAGGTTTTACTGGTCAGTTAACCCAACTCGTTGTATGCTCACCAGTTCGAGGCCTTTAGGATCCCACGCTGATCGCCCATTCACGTGGGGATGAGCCCTTGGTAGCAATGGTAGGTCCTTTCAAAAGGTGAGAACCTAAGGGATTCGAATCAGTAATAGCTTTTACTTTTTCTTGTCACACAAAAAAAAACAAAAACAAAACTCATATAGTAATAGCTTTTACTTTTTCTTTTTTCTTTTTTTAATTAAAGTCGTAGTCAGTGAGAGTTAAATCTAAGTTTCTTCCATATGTTAAAGGACTATTCCAGTACCGCTAGAAACCAAGGTTGTGATGAAGATTAGGGATTATAGTTATACTCTACTAGCAAGTAAGAGTGGGAGTTACCGTGTAATTTTGAGTAGCAATGGTTGTTATGTCCATTCATGATGCTCATTGAAATGTCATTGATATAGTACACATCTAAACATCTAAGCCTTTACAATAATATTCGTCAGCACATTTATCTCTAATAATAGTTAGAATGTACGTCACATCAGTGATCTTCCTACAACATATTGATGTCATGTGAAATCCGTATGATGAAAAGATAAACTCTATCCGCAACCAAATATACAATTGAACATGGAGGCACGTGATATTTCTATACTGTTTATCTAACTCAAAGGGGACATTACTATAGATCAATTTGTGAAACAATAAACCCTTTCTCACAATAGAAATATCTTTATTTTCCCAGAAACAACAAGTAACAAGCTCAGGATTTAGGACAAATTTTCAAAACCAACCTATTTGAGAAACTAATTGCAAAAAACGACCCGTTTGACATTTATTTAGAGAAACCGACCTGGTTTCAGCACTGTAGCTGAAACCAGGTCGGTTTTTCTAAAAAAGTTTACGAAACTTCACGGGAGTTCAACTCCCGTGAAGTTTTGTTATGAGAAAAAACTTCACGGGAGTTGAACTCCCGTGAAGTTTCGTAAACTTTTTTAGAAAAACCGACCTGGTTTCAGCTACAGTGCTGAAACCAGGTCGGTTTCTCTAAATAAATGTCAAACGGGTCGTTTTTTGAGAATAAAATCTCAAATGGGTTGGTTTTGAAAATTTGTCCTCAGGATTTATTACCTCTCATAGAACCACTCATTTTGCTTCAATTAATCAAATGAAAATAAGATCAGTATATTCCAGTCCATTAGCTGTCGCTAACAAACGAATTCGAGAACAGTTGGCTGTCAATGGATCCCCATGCTGGATATTGTCACCACCGTACAGAACCTTGGGACACATTTCAACGACAAACTTTTAAAGAAAATTTAGATGTACCTCTCAAAGAACAAATAGTACAGTGTATCTAACCAAGAAGCAGTTATACTTTATTAATGCTACTCACATGCAATTATACTTTCATTTAGTACCGCCCATCAACATGCTCTCTTAATTTAGAACCACGTACGTACTAGTGCAAAATTATGGGAGATTTCTGTTTAGGTTGCTGCTTGATTTGAACAATGTTATGTCTGCTTTACGAAGATTTGGTTGGATGCAACTGGGCCGTGATTGCAGCTTTAGAATCATATTAAACTTGCACGTTGCAATCTTTTACGCCTGCAATTGTTTTTTATTATTCAGAAATTATGCAGCACATAGTCCCCTCGTTGGTTGATAGTAAGAGAACCATTTTTCACCGCTTTATATTACAAAAAGCGAGGGAAAAACAATAGTTAGAAAAACATCGAACTCCTTCCAACCTTTTTCTGGACTTTTATCTTTAAATTTTTTTTTAATATTTCCTGTACAGGAATATTTTAGTATCTTCTTCCAAATTTATTATGTTATATTTTTATAAATTTTCAGTTTTAGATGTAGATCTCTGTTTATGAAGCTTTGTTTGGAAAATAAAATAAACCTTTAGTCCATTAACCAATCTAAAATTACACTTCCGTAAGGAATATTACCTTCTAGCATTACTTCAACAAATTCTTATTTTCAGATGTGACCAGCCAATCACAGCATTTTTTTGGCCAGTTGTATATGACAATCTAAAATAGATACAGGAAAAAAATTATTCTTTGCTAACGTCAGATACAACTTCAGGGCTACACATAAACATAAGCAAATGACATATAAAATTTGATATATACATTGTATTTCCCTGAGGTCTAAAGAGGCATTAAAATGACATGAACTCCTAAACCACAAGTACAACTGTTTTTGATCAATGAAAAAAATGAAGATCATGTGTCTTGTTAATTTTCACCCAAATATAGTATTATGAGCAGAAGAAATACACATGGTGTACAGGACAGATGTAGAATAGAATGATTACCAATCTAGAGATGCATAAAAGATGGATAAAGGACATGGATAATCTATTCCAAAGTTTTTAGTAGTTCCAAAGTTTTTAGTAGCCTGAACAAGCCTGCAGCTTCCCTGATCCTGGAGAACTCAATGCAGAAAGCTTGAACTTCGATGAAAAGATCTTGCACTACAATAGTAACAGCAGCAGATGCATTAATTTTAGTTTTCAAACATGCACGTGCATGAAAGCAATGAACTAGAGGGCATGCCCAAGGAAAGTTCATCCGGTGGGCTACGAGAACACAAGTAACAATTGACAACAGTAACATTTTATGCATAAATGATTAAATGCAATAACAACAACATCAACATTACATTCGACAGAGAATCAAGTACTGAACTTCATCTCCAGCACTAGAGGTAAGCATCGTACTCTGGCGTCTAGTATGGTTATTGTTTCATATTTTCCCATAGACGGTGCAAATAATAATGTGTTCTTGTCAAGGTGCTTTCCATGAAAGGAGTATGACGTTGGCTCTTGAAGCAATTGGCTTATGTCCGAACAACTGATCTTGCAGGCTTGCAGTAAAAGAGTAGACTTGGTCAACTGGCTCAGGCCTCCAAGCCATTGGAGGATGGTATGCTATTGTGTGTTGGGTCCACACATTAGGGCTTGGCCTGGGTCTATTAGAATGCTTTAGGTTTCTCAATAGCATAGCATGTGGACCTGGAGTCGGAATATACCCTTTGATGCATAGTTAAGTTTTGTGTCACCCTGGGAGAATCCATTAGCCAAGTTCTTGTGAGTTGATTTGGTTCCCTATTGAGCATTAGTTTCCTTAAAACATGTGCAAGAAAACCTGTGTGATTTATCGATGACCACATATATTTGTATTAAGTAGTCATGCAAACATTGTCTACTTTTTTTTTAATTAAGAATATATGTGCAAGTGCTACAAGTGAAAAAACAACTAGCACTCCAGGTTCTCAGACACACCTTATATACGTTAGCTTTTGGGCTATATAACCAGTAATGCTTTGAAAGAAAACCAACTTTCAGATGGGAGAATGATTCCCTAGATTTCCTTTTGCTTAAGATAAGGACATTTTAATTCAAGTCTAGATAATGTTTTTAATTCAAGTCTAGATAATGGTTAATCTAATACACCTACATGCTTCTCATTACAAACCTTACAAAACTTACAAATCTGGACACCAGGCACAGGTATTAAATCATATCAAGGAAAATGAACAAGCAAACTCACCGTTTATGATCTTATTTCGGATGAGACTCTGTAGAAAAACACAAACCAATCTCACCAGTCTGTTCTGCATGTACTTGTCCTGGTAAACGGCATAAACATTTTATTAGAAACAATGTTCATTCTCAAAGGAACAACGGAGATGCTAAAGATACTAAAAATGATTAGCAACAAGTCCTTCCTTTGAAAATATAGATTTTATTTGTGATAAAAACTAGACTCTGTAAGGATTGATTTCGTAGGAAAGGCTTGTGGCAAAATATTGGTAAGCCCCCTTCCCTTATCCAGGCTTGGGATCAACAATGAGAATAAGGCATTAACCACAATAACCATAGAGTCAATGCGACTAAAGAAGGATTGTCTCAAATTAGTATTTGAAAAAGAAAATGTGCTTGGCAATCTGAGTAGTACCAAAGGGTAATTGTTTCTATTACTTTGGAGTTAGAAGGATTGAGAATGTTGAATCAAAGAACGATGGTCAAAGTGGAGAATATTCCTGGGTAATATGTACTAGAATATACCAATGAATGGAAAAAAAAGTCAAGAGAATGGTGAACTAATAGCGGGAAAATGTCAAGAGAATGACTGGCAGCTGAATTCAGCATATTAAAATGGTGAGCGACAACATGATAATTAAAAAAACAAAAGGCTGCATCTGTTAAGCAGTGAGAATAAAGTAACGAAAAAAATTGAGATAATTTGGACATTTGCTTTGGAGGCTAAAAGATATTGTACCTTAGGATTGAGACCTGTAGCTGGAGAAGAGATGCTGGAGATAAATGTACATGGATGGAGGCAGTAAAGTTTGAACTTTGTAGACTTAAAGGGGATAAGAAATTTTGGATATAGGCTATTTTGAATAAATGTCCTCTCGGAAGTTTTAAAACAAATTTCACTAGTTTTGAGAGCTTTGACAGATATATTCAGATTGAAGATATTCGGCATTATTATTTGTTATTTTTCTGTATTTGACTGAATTTTGGAGCAAATCCTAAAAATAAAACATAACTAGAACCAATTAAGAAAAGTAAAACCTTGATGTTTTCACAGGATGATATGCAATTTGTGATGTACATGTGCACAAACTCTGTTGGGAGCTCAACAGAGGTTGTAAGCCTGTTCACAACTTCCATAGAATGTAGGCTCATGTCCATATTCACGAGAACAGTGAAATACCTATGACAGCAAAATCATAGCATAAAAACCAGTTACGTCAGAGATCAATTAAACTTGACGCGCATGGAAAACCAACAAAGAAGGCTTACTCTGCAATTTCAGTAGAATTCATCAACTTTATTAGAACTTCAACAGCAATATGAGGGTTGTTTTCCACTAATTCCTGGAAATAAAAGACTGGCTCATAGAATCCAACAAGATGCAAAAGTCAAACTGATTTGATCAAGCTCATTAATAGAAAACCTACTGGTAACTTCCGAGGAGTAATGCCACAGTGATAGACGAGCTTTGGGTCATTATTAAGCTCTAGGAGGACTTGCTGCAAAGCATTGCAAACAGAAAGGCTTTTCACCTCAAAAACATACACAAGATCCAGAATCAAATGAAAAAAAAATATGACATTCACAACTGATGCAACATAAACTAATTGAATTTTACCGAGTAAAGCCCCATTCACGATTCATGTCAGCATGTTTATCACACGAAGCGTAATTCATATGAAAAGTCATAAGGAATTAGTGAAGAAAGCACCTCTTGTTGAGCAGGCATAAGTGGGCTCTTCAAGGCTTTTGCTATCAAATCTCTGAGTGCTGCCCCACGACTTGTGTCAGCACACATGCCATGATCCCATAATAACTCATGGTTGTTGTCAGGATTGAGCCACATGAGCTGGAAAAATCAAAGAAGGAAATCAACAAAAAGACTAGCACCGACTGACTGAATTCTAAATTGATATGCTTGCCTCTCCATCGAGCACTGGAAGCATTGGTGGCAACGGTCGTATCCATTGGGGGCCTAGTCCTTCTAAACGCGAGTTCTGAAGCAAATCGGTTATAGCAGCATCCCTATTCCCAGACCCTATTCTTGGTTTGGTTCTCGGCGGTGCAGGCTTAAATCTGAAACAAAAATGTTAAATCAGAATAATCTATAATGAAGTATAAGCAATATAGATAGAGAAGAAGCAAATAACTTCCACTAATTGTTCATGAACTAGACGTACTCTGCCGAGTTTGGATCGCAGCCACGAGGTATGTCTGGATCTGATAAAATGTTCTTTACGGATGCAGCTCCGAAAAAACTGTTATAGGCCTCAGCTTGCACTTCATAACCATGTTGCTTTTGCAACTGTTCCCGCTGCCATAAAACCTAAACCATCAAATAATAAATTCTTATTAGCAAAAGAAGAGATGTATTTCAACTTCGAAATAAATCAGTAAAAGGAAAGTAAACGTTTAACTGAAAAACCATGTGCATGTCAGGATTCAGGTAATCAACTCTTCAAAAACTCAACATCTACAGACTCACATATGATGAGGAATCAAATCCTTTCAGGTAATCTGCAGCTGACAGCTTCAGAGCCTGTACAGAAAATGAAGAAGCCGAAATGATGAAGTTGGAGCGAAAGAATGAATTCCTAACAGTGTAGCTATATTAAACACAATTAAAAAATGCAAGCTACCAAGCCATGCATTCAGTTTTGAGATGCCTGTAACCAATGAGAGGAATTGACTGCTGGTAACAACATTTGCATGTGACGAGGACAAGCAATTTTTCAAAGTGTAAAAATATAAAATTGTAATTGTCACCATATCTTCCGAGTTTTAGTATAGGACAGCAAGCTAGAGATGGTATAATAAGTACCTGTGTTTAAAAATTAAATGTACTGAGCATCAATTTAACAGAGAAGATCTATATATATTGTTGGATAAAACTCTGGATTTCAGCCCATAAAAAGGTTAATCAAGCTGCAGGGGTTGTTAGTATATAAAGTTACAACTCTGGACCTCCATTACAACGTTGGAGTTTTGGTGAAGATATAGGGATTAAATAGTATTATAACCACCCTGGTCAAAGCCAATGTAAATGCATTAAAAAAAGGAATAAAGTATATTGTTAAAATACTCAAACAGCAGATTGCAAAGAATCATACTCCTCTTAAAAGTGTGAGTTCAGTAAAAACCTTTCCGTTGTCAATATTACCCTTGACCCTTTTGGATATTACGATCTATTCCTATCTAATTGTAGTTTGTTTTGTTGGTTTTTATCTTAATTGAAGTTATATATCTTAATCCTATCCTATTAGCTGGGCTTTTGCAGAGCTCATGTTGAGGCTCATAAACGCGGATTTCGCGTTGATTGGAGGATCGGCTGTTTTGACGTTGTGCCGAAATCGAGTCTTCTCCTTTAGGGAGGGGACTGTATGAACAGTGCAACCCCCATGGGAGATATTTACGCATACATGTAAAATTAATGCTATTGTTTGACAATTATTATGAAGGATAAAGAAAAAAATTAATACGTAGAATTTAGTTGGCTAAGGCTGGAAGTACAAGGATAACAAATTTAAGTTTTGTCCGAACTTTGATAATCTCATCCAACATACAATAGAGATAAAGGAAAAAGAAATCATATAAAACAAAAAACAAAACAAAAAAAGCAATTTTTATGGGTGAAAATGGCCTGCTTGGTTCATTTGGTAAAAGAATAGGAATATGAAAAGGGTTCTAAAAAAGCTTTTCCATGTCATTCCAACAATTTTTTTATGGAAACAAAAAAGATGGTGGAATGCTATTTTATTTGAATTTTAGTGTTCGGTTCATGAGTAAAAAATGGGAAAGGAACTTTCATAGAAACATATTGGGACAATTTTTAATTATGAAAAATTATGAGAAGAGAGAGAAAAGGGATTTGGCAATAAATAATCAAGAAAAATAAATTGTCCATAAAAACTTTATAGAAACCTGTTTCTATAAAGCCAAATTGAACCATATATATGAATAGAAATGATTGGAAACATTTTTCGGCATTTCTAACACACATTTTCAATTCCTCTCCATCTCTTAAAAAATGGGCAAACTAAGCAGCCCCAAGGTATTACTATATCTACAGTTTTTCTTCGTTGCTTTTCTTTTTTCTGTTTCTTTAAATTTTCTCTTTTATTATCAGCTTTTACTTTTTAGGTGTTCAACTTTTGACAATGCGATCAAATTTTAGAGAATTTTTTTTGCATTATAAAGAGAAAGCTTCAAAAGTTGATTTTTTTGTTAGTTATTATCAAAGATGACATCAAGTGATCAATGTAATTTTATTGAGGTTCTTGCTCTCACTCGATCATTCATTTGCTGAAACAAGATAATTATTTCATCATATAAATATTTATATTTGTCAATCTGATCAATTGTATGTCCATAAGCATTTCAGATTTGCTAGCAACACTCAACTTATTTTGTTCATTAAAGATACTAGAAATTTGGTGAAGTTTTGATGGAAAGACATAGCTCTTCTAGGCATAGGTATTTGGACTAAACATGAGATGTATCATCTACCCGATGATTTAGTGATTATAGCCCACTCATGATCATTAATGTTGTACATGAATTACTTTGCACACTACAATGATATTTGAAGGGTAGGAAAAGGAAATTCTTTCAATCTGATGAAGGTTTATCATAATATTATTTAGGGCTCAATTTGAAAGAAACTTTATTCCACTACTTAAGTCTTCAAACTATCAGATACTAGATTTAGAAACTGGCATAATTCAATACCCAATACCAAGCCTCCCTTTATGTCTAATATGATAATCATGGTTGTGTTGGGATTTGACAACAATAAGCATACACTACATTAAAAAAATTGTGAATCTTACACACATTAGCAATTCACATATTAAAATGAAAGAAAACACTGCTAGATGAGATAAATATGAAAAAACTGTTAGATGAGATGAATATTATAATATAAATCACAAAGATATGATGTTTAAATTAAAGATAATATTTTTATGTTTATTTTAACTTTTAACTCGCTAAGAAAGAAACAAAGAACTAAGCATATATTTAATTATATGCCCCATCATTAGATAAACATAACCATATCAATGCACCTAATATTGTAAGTACTTTGTGCGAAAAATTAGGAGTACTTTGTGAGAAAATTTCATGTTATGATCACAAAGAAGAATAACAATAGTGTCATTTCTTCTAGATTTTGTTTTTTGGTTTGCTAATGAGTCTAATGAAAGATAGTTGCTGTTTTTTTTTGCGTGCAAATTAAATTCACGAGCCTAGCTTCATTTTTGTAGTTATGTATATAATTGTAGTTGACTTTTTTACACAGTTTTATATTTTTTGTCGTGTACATATTACGGAAGGCACATATGAAAGGTAATTGCAAACGGTCTCAAATAAAATGTTTGGAGGTTTAAAGTAGATGCTTATGAATATAAGATGTAGATGATCAAATTGGAATTCCAAGAAAACCCTGTCGAAGCAAGAATCTCATTGAAACAATTTTTTTCTCACTTTTTAGTACTTAACTTAGTAGATGTAAAAGTATGAAATTTTCATATAAAAGTTCTAGAGCTTGCAAGCTTCTCATATAAAAGTACTAAAACTTTTTAGTACTTAGGGTTTCCTGTTGAACTCTCTGTAGATATTAAACTTGATTTTAATTTTCATCCACATATTCACAAAGTTTTGATGCGTCAATCAGATCAAAGTTCTAATATGTATAATGACATAACTAAATTTAATAGAATGGCGAGCTTGATATCAGTCTACAAAATGTTAAAAAATATATGGGTATGACAAGAAAGATTCTTTTTTATCATCATCAAGTAGAGGTTTAAAAAATAATTTTGTTCAGTGCAATATATTGTTTGGAAACTCTTAAACTGTTTCACACACTAGTAAAGACATAAAACCTAAAAAAAATCAAGATATTTAACCATGTGAAATACATGTGCATCTCACCTAGCAAAGTAAAAAGTAAAATAGAGGTGGCTTCGAAGAGTTGAGTTCTTTTTCCCCCCTTAGATCCATTAAGACAAACTCAATCAAAGCGAGCCAAACCGATTTGTTCTATTCGGGTAGGGTAGGCAAAGCATTTGTTTGGGCAAAAGCCAACCGGCCGACACCAGCTCAACCCTAATAAAATTCCCTATTTCATTCCTTCGGAGACACCCGATAAAAAATCTTCATTTCGTCTCTTTACCATTCAATAGAACTTCCCATTTCATCTCTCTTACACAAATCTTTTTTTTTATTTATTCTAAAACAGGTTTAGGACTTTACTCCGATATCGGGAAGAAAGCTAGAGATATGATTGTTTCCCACTTTTCCTTTTTAAAACTTTCGATATTTTTTGGATTCATTTGTTTTAAAACTGGATTTTTTTTTTCATTTTGCTTCTTTAAGTTCAGATATCATGTACAAGAATTATCACTAACAACTCTAACCGCTAATGGAGTTGTGAGTTTCTATTTTCCGTCTATTATTTAGTTCCCTTATTGATTTAACACAATTTTATGTTATCTTTTGTCTAATCTCTTGTTAATGTTTTGCCTGTGAAATAACTTCAGATTTACTTCAGAATCAATCCTATATCACTCAGGATATTTTTAGTATCCATTGGTGGTTATTGGGTTGTTGTCAAAATATTGGATACAAATAGGGCCAAAAACTTTCATCGGATCTGGTATACGGTTGCTGGCTTGTTGTATAGTTATTGTCGGGGAACAAGGATATACCTAGGATAGGTCTTGGATTTTACATAATTATTTTTCTTGTTTCTTTCCATGACATGTTTCAACTGCAGGTTTATATTATTTATCTTATTGTTGAAAAATTGGTGTTGAACAACTAACATGTGAAGATTCACACTGACTGCTAAATCTTGATGGTTCTCCATCTAAATGTCGTTGATTCTTCAAGCTTTGGCCTTCAGTTGATTGTATGATATTAGTGCATGTTCTTTATCTAATTGTTTTTTAATGTTCACTTTTGCTTTTATCTTTGCAGGTAATGACAGCTTCAAGTACAAGAGAATATGATATGATTTTTGGTGAGATTCAAACTCAAGAAAAGAAGAAGAATGTCACCATTGACATGATACTTAACAACTCTAAAGTAAGTTTTGTGGGGGGTATTGCGTATATACCATCATATCTTTCATATTTGCATAATTACCTCCTAAGTCTTATATTTACAAATTTGCCCCTCAATTCTTTACATCGGCTTTTTCCACCCCTCATTTAGTCTGCAAGGTTATATTCCCTTTATTCTATTAACCCATGAGAGATAAATAATTAAAGACTAAAATGCTTTTTTTCTAATTAAATTAGTGTTGATTACAATCTTAATTTCTAAATAACCCAACATATCAAGGTTAGAGTTGCATGATCCGTTGAAGGCTGCAACCAAAGTGCTGGCCAACAGCAAATTTGACTCTTCCTACCTGATCAATGGGTTGTCACCTCGTCGGTGGTTTTCAAAAGGAAAGAGGTTGCCTTATTTCAATGTGTTGCCTCTTGAGGCGTACCATTATAGGAAAGAGAAGAAGCTCGTCATCACCAACTACATCTATAATAGCAGCTTGGCTTACATGATTTGGCGTTGATGATGTTGTTTGGCTTGAAATGGCATTTAAGTTTAGATTTAGTTTGTAAGGGGATAAGGGCTTGGGAAGGAACTGAAAGAGAGAGGTTGTTTGGCTTGAGATGGGGTTTGGATACAGGGTTTAGATTGTAAGGGAAAAACAGTTTTGGTGTCATCTTCAAAAGTTTATAAACCAGTGATACAAAAGACATATCTTTTGGACCAATTTCTCAAAAAGTTGCCCAAGTACTTTCAAATCAAGGAACTCATCACTAGAACGCATATCAACAATAGAAGCTTGCAGCTGATTGTCAAGTTTTAGAAACTAGATTGTGAAAAATAACCAGGACAAACTTGAGCTAATTTTTATTCTCAATTGTAGAAAATGTTACATTTGGTTTTAAACATGCAACACAAGTATATAACATCGTTGTAGCTTCTATACGAGTGTTAAGGTCTTGAAGTTGCATATCAATTACCCTGATCCGCCAGAAGATTTTCTACATCTACATCTTTTGTAAGCCTTGGGCATTTTGATTCAAGTTCTTGATAACTTCCGTTTTTTATGCTTCAGTTTTTGGTACTCCACTATCTTGAAGATCATTTTCTTGTGCACGTGGTTTTGACTCTGTTCTATTTTTTTTTAAACATTTCCTTATTTTCTTTCATATATAGTTAAAAAACTATTTAATAAATTTCATAACGGCATTGCGAAATAGATAGAAAACGATAAGAGCATTGTTTGGAAATTTTGGATTATAAGACACTTGGAATATAGTCCACAAAAATGGATTATAATCCAAGTGGATTATAATCTAGAGCATTTGGTAAATTTAGCGGATTATATCCATTTTTAGTAGTAGAGTGCTTGGCAAATTGGTGGATTATCTACCCTTGTTGTCAAATGACCAAAATGGACATAAGGTTGGTAATGGTTACTAAATAAGGCCTTGGATATTGTGAAATCATAAGTGGTATAAATGTTTTTTACTTGGTCAAGCCTGATGGCTTATAAGAACCAAAATATAAGCAAGATTATCCTAGCTTATTTTTTCGTGGACTATAAACCAAAACAAGTCACTTGCCAAACATCTCGAAGTGATTTAAAATCCACAAATGTGGCTTATAAGCTACTTTGACCATTTGCCAAACATGTTCTAAATATATCTAATCTAACTAGTATTAATGAAAAGGTATTGTTGAATGGCAATGTGACATTAAACCAAAATATCTCCCAGAGGCCAACCTTCAGAAAAGTTTGAATATGTTATTCCATACTGTTCTAAATAGCACAAAGAAACCTCACAGAGTTTCTATATCTGACATTCATATGATATAAATAATCTGCACCAAGCATGGAACCAACAATCCTTTTTTAGTATGCACTCCAAAAGCCAAAGATTTTTTCTGTACAGCTTCTGTAGTCTTCTTAGGCATAAATCCTAATTTACTGCTAACTTTTTTTTGAGCTGGATGTGAGGGAATAATCCATGAATTTTTTTAAATTCAAAAGGATTGTATAGGGTTAAGAAAAATGACAACTACCTCTTTGTCTTTAGTTGCAGCAATTGATCCCAACAACAGCTGAATAAACACTGTTTCTGTTTGCTCAGCCTCATCATCACATGCAGCCTGTTAACACCATGAATTGAAGATAAGAAATTTCCCAAACAATCCCAATTTGTGTATGAATATAATACAAAAAACATCAAAGCACTAAAGAGGATATATCTTAATAAACACAAAAACATAACCAGACTGATTGAAATTTTAAGCAATGCCTAGTTTACATGAAAATAACCAGGAAAAGAAGTCATGTCTTACATGCCTAAACTTTGAGCTTAAGTAAGTATCAATGAAACTTACATCTATGAGAAAGGAAAGAAAAGGGTTAGAAGAGGGTGGCTGAGAGGAATAAGCCTGATGCAGGATAGCAAATGCACCCAAACGCTCGCTTGAGTTGAGAACCTTCTCCTGGAGAAAGAAATAATCTGAGAAAATCATTGTAATATATAATAAATGAGAAAATTACCATGATTGTTGTAGCCTTAGGATGAAATGCCCATCAATTAATTGTTGGAAAATTAGATCACAAGGAAAATATAAGATCACTGAGATTAGATAAGAGAAAAGAGCTAACAATAACAGTAATTAGAAATGCAAATCAAATAGATCTAATAAAAGAATTAAGGATGAACTACAGAGAAACTCCTTGAGTGTTTTTTTAGAAAGAAAATGATTCTCCTATCATTCGCTTTCCAAGTACTACAATTATTTAAAATGATTTAAATCCTACAATGAAACACCCATCAATCAATTCAATGAATATTTTTGATTCCTGTGAAGAGATGTGCTTTTATTGTGATTGATTACTTAGTTTGAAGCCAAATGTACATAAACAGTAATTGGAAAATCTATCAAGCAGATTTACAATTAAAAATTAAAAGTGAATAACTGAGGAACTCCTTGAATGTATTCTTAAAAAAAGAATGGACCTCCTAACGTTCACTTTTCAGCAGTTCCCGATTATGCTGAATTTTTTTCTCTGGGAATTGAACAGAATGTTAATATTGTTAGTGAAATAGCATTCTACCCCTCCACTGTATGCTAAGAGATAGAATTAGTTTCTTTCTTCAATAAAACATGTCCAAACTTAGTCATATTGACTTTTAAGATCACATGCTACAAGAAGACAGTGTTTACCGATAAGAAATAGTAAGGAACTAGATTCAAAAAAATTGAAGTGCTGAAAGAATGGCGTTAATTTACTAGAAGGAAAACTTCAGGAGATTTTCAATAATTACTCAAGAATTAAAAATTATATTCTGCTAAACAGGGTGGATATATGATTTTCTGTAATTTACTCACAAATCTGGGGACTCGTCACATGATTGCATGAGCTTAAACTTCATATAGTAGAATTTAGTCAGCATGTAGGAAATTTTACATAATTAGTTATTCACTGCATAACGAATACAGTATTGTTCCCTACATGCCAAATGTCAACTAGATTCTGTGGCAAACCCTTCCCTTATTGATGAATTATTTCTCAGTAGCTTCCAAGGGTTGACTCCAGATTGAATGCCTTCTATAGAAACCTGAAACCCATCAATTTGTTTTCATGGGATGCATTCTGTCATTGATCCCATGGCTATTAATTATTAAAAGGAGAGAATGGAAAAAGAAAAGAGGAAATAAAAACATGAAGCAAGTTATCAAAAGCAAATAAGGGTTGGGAAACACAAAGCAAAATTAGACTCTATGTGATGCAGGACAATCATGGATCATCCATCAAAAGATTTTAAGATCTATTAGAATAATTTTAATTTTAGTAATATTTGATTTGATCACATGTAATTTTTTATTATTTTTTAGAAGTAACACCATTAATTTGGGGGTTTTCCTTGGAAAACTTAAGGGGATTTTTTTACATTTTGAAGGATAAGAAGGTTTGATGCAGGACAATCATGGATCGTCCATTAAAAGATTTTAAGATCTATTAGAATAATTTTAATCACATGTAGTTTTTTTATTTAGGATTTCTTTAGGATTTGATTTTGAAATCTCTTCCTATTTTAGCTATGATTTTATTTGATTGTATCTTTTACTTTTGTTAGGTTTTGATTTGATAAGGGTTTATATTTACTTCCTTAATTATTTAGTTGCTTTCTTTTCCTATAAATAAGAAATGTAATCCTCCATGAGGAATAGACATTGATGAATAAAATATTTGAGTTTTATCTTGAGCCTGTGAATTGCTTATTGGTATGTGAAGTGTCTTTGAGGTGTAAGGCCTCTAGATGTGATGCCTAGTACCTATTAAAATTCTCCTTCAACTATCCTTCTCAATCATCCACCACTCATTCCCTCTCCAAAAGAATCTCTGCCATCCAACTAGTCAAAACACCTCCACAAAAAAAGCTACTGTTCAACCGTGAACAGTACCAATGTACTGTTCATCTTAGTAGTCTTCTTCTTCGTAATGGATTTTAACGTCATTCTTCCAAGTCATGGACGATTTCTAGCCTCCAAAGCAAAGTTCTCACGCAGCTCCTCATCATGTGGTATCAGAGCCGAAGGATCCACAGTTATCAGGTAAATACATCTACCTCCTTCACAAGGGTATAATTTTAATCCACTTAAATTTGATGCCCTAGCCTACTTTTATGAATTTGATGGATATGAGGAGCCTTATGAATTTGACGTTTGTATTTTTAATATAGAAGATATATTTTTTATCTATGATATGTTAGAGCCGAAAATGTATTTATATGCCGAGTGTAGGCTAAAAAGATAAGCAAAATATTTGTGGTATATAAACAATTGTCATTCAAATATACGGACAATTATGAAAGCCCTTATGGAGAGGAGGTACTCTAGTCCTTCATCTAGAAGATAATGTTTCTCTTCAAATTCTAAAGCAAAGCCAACACAAATTCCTTAACTCTAGCTAGATATGAATCTTCAATCAAAATTTAATTTCAATCCAGATCCGAAACCTCAATTTGAGTCAAACGAGAAAGCAGAGGAAGATCAAAAATTCAATCAAGCACCAAAGTCCAAGTCTGAGCGTGAGCCAGAATTAAAAGAGATCAAAAGATTAATCTACAGTACATGCCTGAACTACAACCAGAAGAAGCAAATCAAAAGATAGATCCAGAGCCCAAGCTTAAACAAGAGTTGGAACCAAAAACAAAACAACAGATAGATATGACGCACGAGCTTGAATCAAACCCAGAGCTCAAGTCAAGCCTAGAATCTGAACTTAAGATCGATATGCGGTGCAAATTTCAAGATAATCTGGTTATTGAGTTCGTTATTCCAGACTCTCCATCACCAATTTAATATCGGGTTTTACAGCTCATCTTGAAGATCTTGTAATCTATAATAGAATTCTTCTCACCAATCAAGTCAAACATACACTCTCCCATTATAAAACTCAAGATCAAGTTTTCTCTAATAAGGAGAGATTTGATGCATGACAATCATGGATCGTCCATCAAAAGATTTTAAGATCTATTATAATAATTTTAATTTTAATAATATTTGATTTGATCACAAGTAAATTTTTTAGTTAGGATTTCTTTAAGATTTGATTTTGAAATCTCTTCTATTTTAGCTAGGATTTTATTTGATTATATCTTTTACTTTTATTAGGTTTTGATTTGATTAATTTTTATTTAATTCCTTAAGTATATAGTTGCTTCCTTTTCCTATAAATAAGAAATGTAATCCTCCATGAGGAATAGACATTGACGAATAAAAAATTTGAGTTTGATCTTCAGCATGTGAATTGCTTATTGGTATGTGAAGTGTCTTTAGGGCGTGAAGCCATTTGGCGTGAGGCCCCTTAGGTATGATACCTAGTACCTATTAAACTTCTCCTTCAATTATCCTTCTAGATCATCCACCACTCATTTCCCTCCAAAAGAATCACTGCCATCCAACCAATCAAAACACCTCCACAAAAAAAAGCTACTTTTGAACCGTGAATAATACTCGTGTATTGTTCATCTTGGTAGCATTTTTCTTCATCATGGATTTTAACCCCATTCCTCCAAGTCATCGGCGATTTCTCGCCTCCAGAGCGAAGCCCTCACACCGGTCCCTATCACTATGTATGCTCAATGAAAGGAAAAGGCATGCAAAGAAATAAGCAGTGATGATTTCATGGTTACTAGAAAGTGGGAGAAGGGGAAATAAAAAAGATTTAGGAAACAAAAGTACATTTTGAAGAACATTACCTATCTTGAGAAATGAAAGGAAGAAATGGCATTTCTTCCTCCACCCACTTCTTTTCTTATGGTCTACCTACCACTTTCTATGCGCATAAAAATAAATTACTTTAGTGTTTTGAAGGATTCTGAGTTTAATGTTACATGTTACATACTTACATGCCCAAAATGTGCTTTGATATGATTCTAAATTCTATTTCTAACTTCTTCTTTTTATTTAATTTTGTCTCCTCAATCACTGTTAGAAACATCTATGTAAGAGTGCCATGAAATTAAGATGAATGGGGAATGACACAGAATACAATCTACAGGTACACAAGTATGCACGTTAGCACACTGCAAATTGATGGGCATGCGTGCCATCACAATGAAATTCGACACCATAGTGTCTTCATGTCTGCAATAACATGATCCTATAATTGGACTTCTAATAAAACATGAAGAATGGCTACTTCTCTGATGACCTTCTTATTCAAATTTGACCAAAATAAATTGAAAATATATCAGGAAACCGGTCCTACTACCACCAATGTTTTGCTTAAAACTGCACGACCAAGCAATTCTCCCCTCTTAACTTTCAGCGAATGACCATCCTACAATTTTCTCCATGATACTCTCTTAGCAGTCTAGGTTATGCAGCTTGCAAGAATATCCTAAAGAATAACCCACTATGCTGACAAACATTCAGAAAGACCACTGGCTTTCATATACCCTCCACCAAATTTTACAAGTGAACTAAATTACCCGATACCATTCTTCAAACTCTATGAAGGAATAGTTCCCATGTTATAAACATTCAACGTTTGAGCCATTGATGATAAAATGAAAGCTTTAACCCATACAAGAAAGAATGAAAATGGAATAAAGTGACTGGTGGTATATCCTTCCCTTTCCCACTCTTGCATGCTTCCTTTTCCTTTCGTGCAAATTCATGCATGCGGTCAAACATAACCAATAAAAATGTGAATCATTATCACAATCTTCATAGCAATAATAAACATGGCACTACAGCAATTCTATCACTAAATCACAACAACAATAAGCTCTTAATTCCAAACTTTTGGGGTTGGCAAATATGAATCACATTCTTCCATTCATTTCTATTACATGTCATCTCGACATCTCCTCCTTTAAGTTGGCTATTATCATATCATTCTTCACTGCTTCCAACCAAGCTCTTTTAGGTCTATCTCTAGTCTTAATTATTGGTTAGCTACAATATAATCGCTTCTCCTAACTGGTGCATTTAATGGTCTCCGTTATACATGACTAAACCATCTCAATCGATTTCCCCTCATTTTATCCTTGATTGTTACACTCCTATTCGCTCATTTCACTAAATTACAGAAGAATAAATTAAAAAAAAAATTAAAAAAAAACAAAACGTTAAAAAGAAAAAACTATGTAAAGAAACGGTTGAAGAATATAAGAACACAACTTCTCTCTAATTACCATCTAACATGAAGTCAGCAACTTTGACAAAGTTTAAAATAAGGAAATCAAACAGCAAATTGCCCTTTCCAATAGAATGTCATCTTACACCCTAACAAAATCAACACCGGACTGCCAAATCCCCTGAGCCTAAAAAGAAGAAAAAAATTATCAGGGCCAACTGCCATAACAAGTCAGGGAATGCAAATACTTGAAGGTAACTAACACCAAAAGGTGAAAGATAAGACCCTAACTATGTTGACAACTTCGATAGTTATCAGCTCTAAGGAAATCAAGTTATTAATTCCTTTTACTAGATTGATTGAGCATTTTTTAAGCAAATGATCTGATAGAATTCCATCTTAAAACCCTAACAAAACCATCACAGAACCCCAAATTCCCATAACCCTACAAATTTCAAGTATTCCACTAAATTACAAAAGTACTTGAGAATACACTTGTCTCATCCAACACAAAGTTAGCAATTTTGACAAAGTTTTCAATTCTAATGAGATCGAGATAACAAATTGCTTTTCTCACGATAGAATTCCATCTTAAACCCTAAAAAACCAACACGGGACCCCCAAAAATCTCATAACCCTAGCTAGAGATGAGTAAACCCTCAGCGCGAGATTTGAAACCCTAGGAGATCGTGACTGCCTTGCCTGTAAGAGGATCGCAATGGCGCAGCAGATCCTGAAACGGGAATCGCGCGGGAACTGAGAGCTGAAGTCACTGAAGATCTCATCGAAGGGGCGAGACTCCGACGAGCTCAGCAGAGAGAAGACCGCCTTCGATTCTTGGACCCCGATCATGGCTGCGATCGAAATGACAGCAGGAGTCTTTGAAAGAGAGATGAAGGTTTACTGTGGTTTTTGTTCTTTCGCTGGAAATTATAGTTTTTATTTATTTATTTATTTATTTAATATGCTCATCAAATCTTTGAGATTGGGCTATTTACCATGTGTCACGCCCCGCGTCCCAAAATATCAGGAAACCGGAACGCGAACAAGCCCGTGACATATTAGCCTGAGGAGAAATAGTACTAGACCCTTTCTACTCAATCTAATACGCTAAGCGTTAAGCAATATAATACGAAGTAACGGGTCCCCGATCACCGTTAGCAATAATATAATAAACAAATCAGAACAAAATGTTCCATCTCACAAATAAAATATCATCCCTGACATAATATTCAGGCCAAACATACCCTGGTACAAAACTATCCAACTGAAATACTAGAGAAATATAAAAATACATTGATCAAGCGGAAATGGAAAGTGCTACTAAAGTAAACTAGGACCGTCAACTAATTAAAAATAATAATTAAGCTTCGGCTTCTTCTTCTGCTCTGCCTACAAAGCACTCCTGCTGAGAATACCCTGGCTCTTGCTGAACCTGTCTGTCCTCTAATTCTGACGTACAACCCGAGAGAATAGGAGTACGTCAGCATGCATGGCATATGGCAAGATCCCACAAGGAAGAATAGAAACAGTCGAACGACCAATGCAATAACAATAATAACAATAGAAGCATGCAACTGAAAATACTAACAATCTAGATGCAATCCACCACTAGAGTATAACAATCAGAAGAAGCCATAATCATCCAAGTAACGAGGTCATGTAACTAGCCATCCTATAATGGTTCACTGGTCCACATGTCACATAGAGTCAACATTCATATCATCGAATAACTGACTGTTCACAAATCCTCTACGCGCATCCAATCCCGGGAAACATTCGATGAGAGGACTACACGCAATCCGATTTTGGCATGTCCGAACTCAAGCAAAACTCGGGTGACAAAACAGGTCACTGACCAAAGTGACGAAACAGGCCACTGGCCCAACAGACCAACCTCAGGACGAAACAAGTCACTGGTGTGAGTCTGGAAGATACATCAACAACCACATCCGATCACATGAACCATGGCTTTCCCATCCCAACGTTCATTGTGTTTCTAAGTCAACACACCCACATGTCTCTAGGTTATTTCTTCAACATTTACTATTCGGATCTCAAAACTTCTCATAGAAGTTAGCAGTAACTAGGTAACATCTAGTATAACAATAGTGCAAGAGGAATCTAAAACCAGCTGTTGTTTTACAACAGGAAATGTCGCGTTCTACAACAATCAATTACACGATCATAACTTTATTAATTCAAAATAATCATTTTCCAAAATAAATTCCTTTAAATTATTTCTCATTATAATTATTCTAACTAATATTTAAAATTTTCTTTTCTTTTCTTTTCTTATTATTTTTTTCTATGTAAACAGTGACTTTTTCCTTTTTATTTTTCTTTTTCTTTTCCCTGAACCGTACCTATTTTCAAGAAAGATAAATTATAGATAATTGCAAGAAGTAATATCTTGCCTCGGGGACGTCGAGGGGTAGCGGGGGTCGTCGGGGTGGCTGCACGGGTCACAACGGGTTTCGCGGGCTCACCGGAAAGTCAATCGGTTAGAATACAAAAGAGATGTGTTAGTAATGATGAACGATATTCGAAGTAATATAACGAGAGGTAGACAATGAGCCCAAGTGAGAGGGAGATACTGTGTGATAGACAATATAAAGGGGTACATATCGGCGAATAAATCAACAAAAATAGAGACCGGAGGTGATCGGAAAGCGCGTATGAAGTCGGCACAAAACTGTCAGAATTTGCAACTGCTTGTCGTTGAGCGATGCTTCGGACGATACCGAGAGAGAGAGAGAGAGAGAGTTAGAGCGTGATACAAATTGGAGGTGATAGACAACATATAGGGCTACTCGTCGAAGAAGAAATCGACAGAAATGGAGGTCGGAGAAGATCGGAAAGTGCGTAGTCGGCACAAAGCTGCAGTTTTCTGCAGTGCAATTGCTCATAGATCGGGCTTGTTCCTCGCTGTTCGGAGCCTTTCCCCATTGTTTGGGATTGTCGGAGGTGGGAGGAGGTTGCTGGGTTCGTTGGGGTGTCTCGGTGGACTCCAATGGGACTCGTCGGCGGCTAGAAGTGGCGGCGGCGGTTCGGTTGCCGCTGCTTGCTGCCCGCTGTTTCGGCGACGTACACAGCGCGAGGAAGGGAATCAGGGGTTGTTGGCGCTTTTTTGGGTGCAGAGGGGAACCGGGCTGTTTGTTGAGGTGCTTGCAAGAATCGACGGGAAGGAGGGTAGGAGTTGAGGTTGTCGGCTAGAGATGGAGTTGTAGGGAGGAGGAGGAGGCGGTCACAAGGCCGTTGGAGAGGGAGGAGGAGGAGGTGGCTGAGCAACGTCGGAGGGAAGCGGTTTGGGGAGGGTGACGGTGCTGTTTAGAGCTAGGCGGCCGTGGTCGGGAGGTGGAAAAGCGAGCGGGGCGGAAGGAGGTTTGACACCAGCAGAGGAGTGGCGACGGACGTGAGTAGTTGAGGCCGATGCTGAGGCTAGGGTGATAAGAGGATGAAGGGAGGAGGAGCGAGTCTATCGTCGGGGCTGAGGGCGGTGGAGTTGGACGGCGAAGAGGAGAGGCGACGGTAGTTGGGTGTGAGCAGCGGCGAGCCTGGAGGTGGAGGCGGGTCGGAGGTGGGGCTGTGGGTTTAGAGGGAGAGAGAGGAGCAGGAGTTGGAGGAAGAGATTAGAGGAAGTAGGAGATGGAGTTGGAGAGAGAGAACGTAGAGAAGAGATTTGTAGGAGAGGGAGAGAGCGACAGGAGTTTGTGAAGTCGACGTGTACCTCGTGGGCGGCTTGAGGTTGTGGGCGGCTCTTCGACTGAGTGTGTTTTGTCAAAAGAAGTGAGTGTGTTGAGTTGTAATGAGGGAGAGAGAGAGAGAGAACATGTTGAGAGAGAGAGAGAGAGAGAGAGAGAGAGAGAGAGAGAGAGAGAGAGCTCATTAAATAAGTGTGCAATTTGTGTGATACTGATGCTTATGTTGTGTGGTGATGCTAGCTGTTATATAAAAATATAGATAAGTGTGATATTATATTAGTTGTTGAATTTGTCACTGTTATTAAGACTACTGATGTGAAAATAGTATAAAATATGAAAAATGCAAATTGAAATGTGTGTGGCTACATGTAGAAAATACGTGTATGGGTGACTAAACAATGACTAATAATGATGATTGTAATACAGTTGCATTAGAAAATTGGGGAAAATATAAATACTCTTTAGAAGAATAAAATTTAATATTTAAATACTAGAAAAAGTTTTTAAACCGGCATCAGAAAATTATGTTCATTACACCATGTGACTAAATATATCAAATCTTTGATAAGTTAAATGTTAGGAAAATTTTCAAGGCCCCAAAATTTAAGTTTCAATGTGCCCCAGCCCCTCATATTTTTTAATGTGTTGCAACCCCTTTTTTTGAAAAAAAAACTATGTCCAGGGTCCTTCATCATGATTCCAGCTCATGATTAGACATGTCAGCTCCTAAAATACCAAATTTACCCTTTCTCTTTCTCATGCCAGCTCATCCCAGCTCATGTTAACAATTATAGATAACATGTTAACTATTACGATTTTATAAATATGTTTTGAGCTCAATGTGTGAACTGTACTAGTTAACATGTTACCTATAATAGTTAACATGTTAAGTATAATAGTTAACATATTAACTATAATAGTTAATAGTTAACATGAGACACGAAGTTCCTCGGGACGACGTCGACGACGGAGCGGGGGAAGGAGGTAGGGGAGGGGGGCCGGAGGAGGAGGAGGGAGGTGTAGCGGGGGAGGGAGGCGGACGCGGGAAGGATGCTATAGGCAGGGGAGGGAGTGCAGAGCACTCGAGAGGGAGGTCGGATGCGGGCGAAGGGAAGGGGGGGGGAGGAGGCGGGGGAGGGGCTGAGGGGGACCGGAGGAGGATGAGGGAGGTGTAGGTTTATTGTTGTACATTGATGGATCACCCAAAGGAGAACTTCGATGTACGTTTATTGTTTAATTTGAATGTTATCTGAATATGTGTTATGTGTTTAAGTTTAAGCTTATGACTCAAAGCATTAATATGTCAGTATTCTATATATTTGCAGCACCTATTTCTCTTCATTCGCAAGCCTCGTCTATTGTAAAGTTCAATGGGCTTAATTTTCATGAATGGAGTGAACAAGTTCAGTTTCACCTAGGTGTTCTGGATCTTGATTCAGGACTCCTGTATGACAAGCTCGCTGCTATTACTGATTCTAGCAGCGCTGAAGAAAGATTTTTCCATAAGGCTTGGGAAAA